AAAGGGGATGAGGTGGTCGGAGTTGTAGTACGAGTAAATTTAGTAGTAATGGCTTGAGCATCACTCAAACGCGGCCATGCCCACTGCCCACATTTTTTAAATCCGGTTAATCTCATCTCCATTAAAGTAAAAATTACAGTAATGGCAATAATTATGCCAGAGACAATCCCCGTTACTTTCTATAATAGAGTCTGTTGGACTTGAAACAGTTAAAAGGAGTCTCTTCTTTTCTTTTCCTTTTTTTTCCTGGGTGAGTGTAATTCTGATAAGGACCCCCTTCTCTCTGGTCTGGTGTGTCTGTCGGTTGGTAGAGTCAATAGAAATCCCAAGTGGTGAGTTTGGTTCGCTTGGGGTTGAATCATCAATGCAAGGGAGTACGGCCTACAGTTAAATGAGGGTGGGCTGACGCTTGTGACACAAACTTCCCTATTTTTCTTCTAGTTGTATACCCAGGAAACTCAGAGTTGAGACTGTTAGTGGTAGTAGACAACCCAAAACTATAATTCACCCATTATTTGTATCCTCTTTTGTACTTAAAAGCTCTTATCTTAAGGCCTGTTTGGTAAGTCTTTTTTAGAAGATTTTTTTGTAGCTCTGACAGTCAATAGATGTATTGGGCTTTTGGCATAAGATCTAGGCAGTTTGAAGACCGTTTGATAGATGTGCATGGTGTATCTTTTCGTGCATCGGTTCTTTTTGCACGAGATTCCTGAAATCAGTTCAAAATGGGTTTTCGCATCTTTTTAGCACCCCATTTTTTGACAATGAGATCTTCCGCATGTCAAACCGGAATAGACTGATTTTCGGTCTTTCTGACTTATAAGCAGTCGAAAGACTAGGCAGAAAAATGTGCTAAACGGGGCCTTATTTATCGGGGGTACCCAGCCGTTACCATTTATACAAAATTACAAAAGCAATCTCCGTCAATGTTTTAATAATCTACCCGAATCCGAATCCGAAACCAAATGTTTAACGGTTCCAGAAGAGTCACCGGTTTCCGTATCAAATGGTTCGCCCGTCCTGATCAACGATGGTTCTAAAGCCATATCTGTCTTGTAAATATGTGAAGAATAGAAATTAAAAGAGATCAGGACCCTATAAATATGCATGGTGCATTCCGTGGCTCCAGCACAGAATTCGACCCGTTTTGAGCACAGGGTATAATCCATGGGACCTATCAATTAGTTATGCACGGAAACGAATACAGCTGCTGCTTTAGCTGCATATCCATATTTCTTGTGCCTAAGGAGGGGACAAGAGAAACGGAATGATACTACAAGAAGAAGAAAAGAAAGAAAAGGGTAGCCACGTGGCAAAGTTAACAAGAAGGGTTGTGTGTGGTGAGTTTGTATGGCAATAGGCGTTTCGCCGTTAAAAATGTCGGACCAACTTCCCCAGTGATGGTGTGGACCGTGCAGAGAATAGACTGCCGAGTGCTGGGCGCTGGCTGGCTACAACTCTACAAGAGGGAAATTAAAACTTTAAAAGAGGTGGCCAAACACGAGGCGTTACCAAATCATCCAAAAATGATGATGGTAGGGAGAGAGTTTGCCTAAAATAATATTTGTTTAATTGAGTACCGTCAATGAGTCTGAGTGTTGGTTCCGATCATGGTAGACATGGTCTCAAATAAACGTGCCCAATCTAGTCCTGAACCTTATCCTACAGTATTTCTAATAACACGCCCAGAACTGACCCAATTATTTAATTGGGACTAGGGTTTGACCACATATGGCCTGATTATAATTAACAGCCATACTTTTCAACATGTAATTTCAAAATAAAGTATACATGCATTTGTTAAATTGATACATTTAGACAATGATAATACGATCATATTACAAGCATACCATGAGAAACATCCATATTGGACTGGGGGCGTTTTCGTAATTGTATTAATATTAGAAGAGCTCCGTGCAATGCATCAACTACTAGTGTTGAAAGATAATCGGTCTAGAATCACCAAACCCGATCCTGACCCAATTATAAATGGGACATAAATACAACCTACATCTATTGACAATTCTGTCGGGTCTACTCGACCCATTTTTCCTTCAAAGCCTGTTGAATTTTAATTTTTTTTAATCGCTAAGTGGGTTTGGTTTCTTTCAAAATTTTCAGTCACATGTTTTGTATTATTTTGTATGTATTTATACTGTACATATTTGTATTTGTACTGTTTCCAAACTGAGCCTTACTTTCTATACCCGCATCTTATTCATAGTGCATTGTAGTCGCATTTCTAACACTACAAGATGGCGATGTATGACTGCAATTCAGGCGAGTAGAATCTAGCTTGGTAGAGAGTAGTGGGTAGGAAATCCACCACCTTGCTCCTTGGCCTGATGTGAGTCCTTGTTGGGTGGTTGTCTCTTTTTTTTTTTTTTTTTAAATTTGTCTTTTTTTTTATTCTTTGATTCACAAAAATGGAGCAGAAAATCAGGAAAGTTGGGCAGAGGGAATCTATTTACCTTTTTATCTCTCTATATATCTTTTTTGTTGGTCTCTATATATCTTTTTTTTTTTCCAAATTCATGAAACCTTAGTATATTGAAGTCATTTTCAGATATTCCATGGAGATTCAAGATGAAAATTTCCTTTTTTTTCTTAATGTTGTGTTTGGTTGTAATGCAAATTTATTTACACTGTTACAAATGCATGGGAGTGCAGATGTAAAAAATGCAAATTTTTATTTAATTTTGTTTTGGGTTTTACTTTATTCTGCTTTATATCGTAATTTATTTTATTTATATTGCAATCAAACAAAATAAGCTAAAATTTGAAACAAAAATAGGTCAGAATTTACACTCCTTCTAAACTGAGTTATAAAAATTTATTATAATGAGAAATTGCATGAATAAAGCCTTTTGGCATGAAAACTATATAATTCATTGCACTTGGAAAGGGACAATACTGAATCAAAAAAACGAAAAAAAAGGAAAATATAGAGAGAGACAACGACACAGTCAGTTTAACTGGAACCAACATGAACCATATATATGAAGAACTTAGAAGCCTCAATCGTTTTCGATTCTAAATTTCTAATAACACCCAGACCCACCCTGTGTATTGTAAAAAGAAGCTTATCTAACATCAAGCCTTGATCTTAAATCCCGCCTCTCTCTCTCTCTATCTCTATCTCTCTGAGAAAATGATATAATGATTTCGATCTACAAGGTTCACTACAAAGTTAAGAGTAATCAGATATAATCTTTATATTCTTATTCTTTCATTATCCTGTCGGTTTCACGTACATTTTTTGCTTAGAATTTTGTGGAAGAAGACTACGTACAATTTTCAATAGGCTTGTAGAAAAATGGTGCAAGGTCTGAGGTGAGGTGGGGTATAGAGAATATGTCAAAAACTGGAGCACAACCACTCATACCATCTGCCTGTCTCCATGAATTCCAGGAAGAGGTACAAGATGTTAAGCCCTTTTATTCACTAAAATACATTATTGACCAGAGTATTAAGCCCATTATGTCCATGAATTCCATTCTTTTGATACAAAATCACAACTTTATTCTTCTCTGAAAATAGAAACTGAGTTCAAGAACGTATTTTTTTTCAAAATCAAATCAAAACTGATTTGAAGAATTTTTTTCTCTTTAAAACCACCTTGTTTATAGTTTAATAGCCGTTTTATGTTCAATCAAATACCGTAAAATTGCAATTTTTAGGAAATCATTACTCTTTCCTTCTTTTCTTCTTTTTTCATGCAACTCGGCAAATAGAGCCAAATTCTTAATAAATTAATTCTTAGAGTTTCATTTCCCTGTTTAAGTTTAAATATGAAGTTAATATATTAAATAAATTTCGCAGTTGA